TATATATATATTAGTTTGTATTAGTTTTGACTTTTTCAACTGTAATATTAATAAAATTATTTTTAAAAACGTTGGGCAATATTTCATTTAATTCTGCCTACTGGATGGAGGACATGAGGACAAAAACAAGGAATATCCTCTTTTTACCAGGCATGAGCAATTTTAATAATAATATGAATACAGGGAGTATATTAGGAGAGAAAATTGCTTTCTTCGGCTCAGCTATGTTGTATGAAATGGGGGGGGGGGACCCTGTCAACTTTGACATCTAGACAGTCCTCTAAAGAAATGTGGCAGAATCAAGTGCCCTACATTTTTCATAAAATATGGATTGCTCATTAGAGTGCTATTTTGCTGGGATGATGATAGATTCCCCCCCCCCCCAATTATATTGATACATAGGGATTAACCTCAATTTCTTGTGAAAGAGATCAGGCTTAGACGTAGGATTCCATACCTTAAACAATAATTATAGTTTTGTTCCATGTCATCAGTTGACATTTGGGGAACTCCTCAACCATTTGGTTAACTCTTCAGCCACATACCTAATTTACTCTAGAAATATAAACACAACGAAGGTGCTGGATGAATGGCCCTCTCCCAATTAGCCTTTCTCTGATGGTTGATTGAGGGATTCTCCTTGGGTTGCTTGGCAGCTTCTGAAAATGGAACTATAAAAATAACACCTAGAACTACAGAATGTAATGGGCTGTGAGAATAACCTTGAAGAGCAGGAGCCACAACCAAGACATTGGTCAGATAAAAGAAATCGAGTCCAGAGTAGAAATGTAATTAGAGATAAATGTCTCAGATTTGAGCCTTCCTAGTTATCTTGCAGATAATGGGGAGGTGCTTCCAGACTTGCAAGTCTCTATTATCATGACTCTATAATTGAGGTCAGCATTAGCATTCATAATTTTGGTTTCCTAGTCTGGTCTATCTCAAAGGGCTAATGAAGTGATGAATGACAAGGGATGAATAGGCCTATATAAAATTATATCATGATTGACATAATGTTATACATTTCCTCCCTTATTATGTCTGCATGATGCTGTTTAAGGTCACATGTATCTACTTGGACACATGGATTTCAAGAACAAACTTTAGGCTGCAGTGATCTTTTTCCTAGGTCTTAAGGTTATGATGGCAATTGGGCCCAGGATTATTATTTCTAAGCAAAGTGGTTAGAGAATGTTAGATGGCCATATCACTTAGCTAATCCTGTCAGTCCCATTTGACATAACCCCAATATTTGTGGGTTGTTAAATGGGCAGTAGTGCAAATCATGCATAAGGAGCACAGGGGCATCAGAGGGGGAATGGGTGAGGTCCTGGGAAGGCCAACACAGACTGTGCATGAGAGGGAGGAGGGTTGTCATGAAAAAAATGTGTGATAGAACTCCATGAAGAATGGGAATGGAATAGACCCCAGTCTTAGTATTGTTACATATGTAATTTTTCAAGTGGACAGATCAACGTGTAAATGTATTGGGAGGGTCATACAATAACATATTTTTATAATTTCATTTTATATGGTTTCTTTATTGCTCCTAATGATACTATGGTAGAGGCATTGCATTGTATGTTTCTTCACTTCGCTACATCCATGTTCTAATTTAAATCTATGTTATTCATATTTAATTCTTCTGCAGTTTAAATTTCTCAATTGATGGAAGTCATTTTAGGAAAGCTCATATTTGATATTATTATAGTTATTGAATTTACTCACAAGTATTCCTTTTTCAGTATATCAGCTACAGATTTTAGATTTACCTTTTATAAACAGTTTAATGAAACATTTATATTTTAAGTAGTTTAATCAAACATCTATATTTTAAACCTATTGTGGACAAATACATAATTCCATTGGTTCTTGTAGCCTAATAAGAATATTTGGATGATTTAAGATGCATGCTGATTGGGAAATTCTGGAAGATGATGTCCACACATCTTAAAGTTGCTAAATTTGAAAAACACTTATCTAGATAATTAATTAACCATTAATTTTTTAGTCATTTTTAAAAATATTTGCTTTATCAAATACCAGTCAGTGTTTTTATCACTTCTTTGAATAATAATCATGAGCTGATCTTGCCTCCTTCTGAGGTATTTGAAAATAAAATATAAATATTTTAGGGAACATCTGTGGCTTCCACCTTATTGGAAAAATGTGAACTTTGATTATTGCTCACTGCTGTAGACTCTCATTTAAGATGGGCAGTATTATTCAATACAAATTGAATAAATAAACTTTTGTTTACTTACTATATTCTCTTTCAATAATCCTGTTTCCAGCTGATGAAGAAGCACCAGATTATGGCTCAGGAGTGCGGCAGTCAGGAACAGCTAAAATTTCCTTTGATGATCAGCACTTTGAGAAGGTATGCTGTAAAAACCAGGACTATATGAGAATTATTTTAGTGGGGTTGATTTTATGAAGATACTTGTCTCATACCTAATCAATTATTAATAGATTTTTATATAGATTTTAAACACAGAGGACTTTTGAAAGATGGGATATATCACAACCTAATACTGTTGCCAGATGTCTGGAATATGTACTTTTAAAACCTCCTCAGCAACAGCTCTGTGTTTACATTTCTATACATGTACTGAGCAGGGGTGATTTCCAGCAGCCACTTCTGCTGGTTCACTTATGGGCGTGCTGCATGCGCGCACATGCACAGTGCAATAAAAATTGTTCTGGGCATGCACAAAAGCCAAAAACATGATGGTGGCGCCTATGGCAGTGCCTGAAGAACCAGTTGAGG